AGCGCAACCTTTGTGTGTGTGTGTGTATGTGTTTGTTTTATCCTTCACAACAGTATGACAAAAATACCGCATTCAGTGTATGTGAGTCGGGTTTCTTACACATCAATAACGATCTTTTGCCGAAATACAAAAAAAAAAAAAAAAACAATAAAAAATAATTTTACAAATTTTCTTTGTGTTACGCGCATTTCTAGTGTTACCATGCCTGAAAAACTCAAACCAAAAATTCAAAAAGCCAATAATGCTTATTCTGATACAATTTAAGCTGTAAGACCAATAACGGTAATATTTGTTTTTTCTTTAAATATATATTTCACAAGAATTGACATGTAAGAGAACGGTATTGCATGTTTTTTTCAGTGTCCATATCTCTTCCAAGTTTAAGAATTAAATATTACATTCAGGGTGTGTGCTTCAAACATTTATACCAACAAAACAGTAAGAGAATCAGAAATTCATTCGAGATTTGACTGGATTGCGTGAAATTTCACTTGCAAAAACCTAAAAATTCACGGCAAACAGAAAACCACGGATTCTTGGGGAGATAAAAGAAAAACGATGAATATTTTCAGTAACATAACATTAAAAGGAAAAACAAATGTGACACACATATCGAACTCCATGGTAAAATCGAAAAACGAAAGTGCATAAAATATGGCTACATTTGTGAATCAACGGAACGTGTGAAAAATATTGTATAGACCTGTTGCTGGTAACATTGGAAATGTGTGTTCCATCAAATCTATTTTTGCTTATTTTTTTATTAAACATACGAATAACACCACGTGATACATTGTTAATACAATAACCAAGTTGTCGAGATTTCATTTCAGTGTGTACAAGTAGAAATAGTTTATCTTTGTTATCTTAATCAATACTAGTTTACATAGATACTTAAATCACATGTTGTTTTGTTCTAAGTACTTCGTGTTAATCTTAATATAGATATTTTATATTGCGAACTACTTGTTAAGTTCAAAATACATAACGTGGGGTATAAATATTTACTTAAAGTAGGTTAGATCAAGATATCAAAGATAAAACATATCTAACTGCACAAATAAAATGAAATCTCGACAAATTGGTCACTGTCCTAACATCGTATTGTGTAGTTGTTATTCGCACGTTCAATCGAAATTGAAACGAAAGTAGATTTTACGGAAAAAAAAATTACAGACAAACCCTCAAAAGGCCAACAAGATGGAAGGTTAACACATAAATTTATATTTTCTCCCAAATCTGTAAATATAAAGATATTACCATGTCATTAATATACTATTGTTAGTTTCTGTTTTCACATGGACAACATTGTTTAAATTAATGATAGATACTGTATATTTACTCATGTCACATTAAAAAACGATTATGAATTTTAGATATTTGTTGTTAGGTACATGAGGTAGTGAATCCACTATTTTCAGTCAATCTGTTTTCCTTTTTTTTTTCTAATTCTACACTTGTGTATATTAAAATCACTTGGTAATCAAGTTAAACGTCATTACGGTACTTTTTTTTATCAATACGCACAGTGTTCAGTAAGTTCATACATGTCTGATAATATACATTTACCTTTTTGTCGTATTTTTTCCATTTTGGATTTCAAAAAAATTTAGTATTTATTTCCTTTCAATAATGCAATATTTTTTTGAATAAGTGTATATTAAGGCTTCTAAAAATTAGAAACAATGTCGGAACTAGTTCTACTCACTTGCCCAAAACATTTTGCAAATTTTAAATGTTTTCCTGAACGATATCAGACGCGGAATATTGGAAGGAGATCCAATGGCTGGGAATAGAAATATAGATAAAGAAAAAGTCATCAGCACAGTATTTTAATAATAATTTGAATATAACCTAATGTTGATTTGCTCAGAGCATTTATCTGGATTTACCTTGACGAGGAACGTTCAGCCAATGGTGTTCAAGTCTAATATATCAAAAGGAAAAAATGGTTGCTAAAGATATTAAAAAACATTTCATCTGAGGTGATATATCAAGAAAAAATTACAAAATGTCTTAACCACCTTTTAAGAATTCATTAAATTGGCAAAGTTCCTGCATTTGGCACACAAACTATATTTTAGTGAAGAAAAACAGAGATTCAAACAACAGATAGACCAAAACAATAATTCAAAATGATGATCGTTCTAATCGCTTGATTAATCACTTTTTAACTGGTTTTAGAATTTTTACATCGATTAAATACGATCACAAGGATTTAAAAACATTCCAGAAGATACAATAGTTCTATTTTTGATAATTGTTGCATCGATATCTGATATCTCGAATATCACAGTAAGATTTACATTTATGTGTTGCCCTTGGTTTTGGTTTCTGACCCGGATTTGTTTTCGCTTTATCGATTTATGACTGTTTAACAGGGTTTTACTAATGTTGCCTATATTTTTGACAGTACCAGTTCTATAGTATGTTAATAAAGATGTTCCTTTTGTAATTGATATGGATTTGATAATCATTATAAGATCTTAAACAACATTACAAAACTAAAAAAAATCAATTTCATTAACACGCTTTCTTCTCTTAAATGGTTAACATTTTTGATGTACAGAACAGGCCTAGGAGGAGATGATAACAAGGGAAAATAAAAAAACCATGTAGAAAAGATTCAGAGAACAGCAATGCCACAAACACTCAATAGAACAAAATATCAACAGTCAGGGATACCAGAAATGAACCCATATACTCCAGCATTTCCTGGTCCTATAGTGTGACTTTTCTGTGTGCTTATGACAATTTAACATCAGGTCAGATTGCGCATTCAGTTATGTCACAATTGAGGAAAACTTGATGGATTGGTGTCACAAGCAGTGGGACTTTTATTAGGTCATTAATAGCAAATTCAGATATATTGATGATGTTCTTTCCATTAACAATCCAAATATTTCTGATTCGGTTCAATTAATATATCATTCAGAACTAAAAAAAAAATGAAACAACAGACACGGCTTCCTCTGCCTAATTGTTAGACGTATACCTCGCATTTGACATAAGCTGTCATCTCAAAACCAGAATATATGACAATTTTTTTGTATATTTGTCTTTAATACTGTTTTGAATTTTCTCGGAGTTCGGTGGGTTTTTTTTCTTTAACTTTCTTTATAACTTAATAGTCAACCAAATAATGATTACGTCCGAAAAACGTCTGTAGAGGAAATCAATAAATACAATCCTGCACATTTTGCCCCATTTTAGTTCAGCAGATTGCAAAAATAATTAGAGATTATACAAGTAAAACTATGTAAAATGTTTTAAGAAATTTCTGACTAGAAGGATTCTGCTAGGATTCTCAACCCATCTTTTTTTGGCAAAACAGATGGAAGTGGTACATAACCATAGCAATCATTAAATTTATATGGAATATAATCACTTACAAGGCTAACAAGACAATTTTGAATTTGTTAAGTATCCAGTACAGAAAAAAATGTTTTTTTTTAAAAGATGTACTTCAAAATAGTTGATTTTAAGTTTTCATAAACGATACCGATCACAGTATGCAAAAAGTGAAATGAAAAAAAAAGAACGACTCCAATGAAAATTCAAAACGGAAAGTTCCTATCAAAATGCAAAATCAAAAGCTCAAACCACCAAAAGTATGAATATCAACTGTCATATTTCTGACTTAGTACAGTGATTTCGTAATGTAGAAATTGGTGAGTTAAACCAGCTTTCACTTGCATGTCAGTTGCAACACACTTGTTAAGTCATCTTCTTATCAATGGTATGTTTGTCCTGTTTACTTTGTCGGTTTATCTACGTTTTTGTGACATTCTTAATAATGTCTGAATATGTCTTGGCACTTTCTTGACAGTCTTAAAGCTGTCTGAATATACTTCGACACATTCTTGACGGTATTAAAGATGTCTTGACACTATTTCAACAGTATAAATTTCGCCTGAATTGTGAATAGACACATTACGCACTGTTTAAACATTTTCCTTTGCTTTATTATCGCTAAACTAAAGTTATAAAAAAGTAGGATACAATGATACTTTGCTTTTTATAAAAATCACATTTTGGTACTATAATTGTGTATTTACAATATCAAAATTGATTATTTTGCATGTAGAATGAAACATGTTTACAGTATGATCGGTTTTAATAATTTGGCAGTTATTTATAAGATATAGGAATCAACATTTATAATTATTTACAAACCCACTTTTAAATTGGTTTATATCAACATACCCACATTTGTGTTTGTTAATACTTTTAATTCCATACCCATATTTGTTATTTATAATAAAAATATATATACCCAAATTTTTAATTATAAAAATATTAACATGCCCAACTTTTGTTTTTGTTGTAATAAGTGTAACTTGAAACAACAGTATATTATATAAAGAGGAATAAAGATAAAGTTATATCATGTATATTGGTCATAATTTGTAAAACTCAGAATTGTCAAGTAAATTTAAGAAACAATTCAAAATATTCAGAATATGTCAAGCCATACTGAGAAAAAATAAGAATGTCGAGAACTTGTCGAGAAATTTCAAGACAGTATTCAAATGTCAATAATGTGTCAAGAAATTTTGAGACCATATTCAGAATGTCGAGAATTTCTTGAGTAAATTTCATATAAATTTTATATAAATCAGAATTGGTTAAAAAATTAAGACACCAGTCATACTTTTGGAGAATGTCGGGTAACTGATCATGTAAATTAAGACAAACATTGGTCTTTTCGGACTTTTAGACTATTGTAGTGAGTCCATCCATAGCATATATCAAAAATACTTTGTGTACAATCTTAGCATGAAGTGGCTCACATGCATATTAATTTCTAATGCATCAGAATATATTATATACAGTGAGAAGAACACAATGTGTACCTTATTATTTAAGTAAATTACAATAAATATATTACAATGCATATATTTTTGATAAGATGTTAGATATACTTCGTGTAAAATATGCTTTCTTTTATAATTTTATGATACTTTATTAACAGTTGTCCATTAATTGTTCTATTGCAGACATATCAATAGCACTATATCGATACTTGTGTCAACATGTAGTTGGTTCAGAAGATCATGTTAAACAAATCAGATTGATGAATTCTGTCAGGGATATCCTGTCAAATGACAGTGCTACCAGTACTATAACAAGTGGAAGCTTTGGCGAAGGACTTAGCATGCGAGGCAGTGATTTAGATGTAATGTTTGTACGTAAAGATATTGAGGTTTACGAAAATGTAATACCCAACCTTCGTCCAAATATATCATATTTTTCACTAGAAAGAGACAACGTAAAAGCTGGGTTTACTCGGTTACAACTAGCATATACCATATGGAAGAATATTCTAAATCAATGTGAAGAACAACATGGTAAATATTATTATTCAAGTACATTATATAAACAACATTTCTTGCAATTGAAAGGAAGTACGATTCATGGACCGTGTTTAACTGACGCAGATGGAACTTATGACTTTGCATGGTGTTTACATTGTAAAACGTGGGTATCACCTGCAGTAAAGTGGGTTTCAAGATCAAACAACTCATGGCCGAGTGATGACGTTAAACTCAGTATTATTAAACACGGAGTTCTATTTGTGCCGATCGGAGTTAAGGGATCACCTAACGAAGATCTTGAATGGCGAGTATCTTTTTCAGTTGGGGAAAAACTTCTAATAAATACCTTTACACACACTCAATTACTTTGCTATGCTCTCTTAAAAATTATTTTGAAAGATCTAATAGATACTTCTTTCGGATGTAAAGATTTACTTTGCTCTTATTTCATGAAAACAATAGTTTTCTGGTTATCAGAAGAACTTCAACAATCGGCTTGGAAACCTGCTAATTTTATATCTTGTTTTATTCGATGTTTCAACAGACTGATTTATTGTGTTGAGACTTCAAATTGCTTGAATTACTTCATTCCGGAGAACAACATGTTTGAAAACAAAATACAAGGTCGTGCTCGTGAAATACTTTTAGAGAAACTATATACGTTACATAGCTATGGTTGGCGATGCATCTTATTTTCAGATCAAGTATCTAAATTTGATGTATCAATGTGGAATTTACCCATCGAATCGCATGCATTATATGTAAATGATGTTGAAAAAATGCTTAAATCCAACGTTTTATCATCTGCAATGAATACAATAGATTTACCAGAATCCAATCGATTTAATATAGGAATGATTCATCCGATTTCGTATACACAGTCTTTAATAAAAAACGTCTATACATATTACTTTTCACAGTTGTGTAAAAGACTTGCTCAGGATACACCACTGTTCAGTTCATTTAGTTGTAACAAATTCAAATACAAACAATACAAATCCTGTCTTAGTACTCTGCTGAAAAATATCTATCATGACGCTGTATCTGGATGGCTGATGGTAGCTTCCCTTTTCTATAAGACAAAACAATACAATAAAGCTTTACACATTATTATGTATTCCATGTCGAAATGTACTCCAGAAAAACTGCACCGCTTCATGACTATGTCGGATATCCATTACCAGTTACTAAAACTGCAAACATTTCACCAAAAGAGTTTCGTATGTTTGCAGAAAACAATGTTTGTTGATTGCATGCAATTTACGAAAGATTCTACGATAATACCAGATGAACTTCAAATTAACCATAAGAACGGACGTATGATCTTTCCATCTACTGTGTTTGCTTATTTCCTTAATTGTCTTTGTCATTATCATCTCAATAATGTAAGACAATGTCAAGATTCCCTTCAAGGTTTAGAAATGACTACAGATGAGGAAGATTATTTCATTGCAGAAGCTTACAATATGTTGGGAATAGTTCTAAATCTAATAGGCGACAGGGAGTCTGCAAGACAAGCATTCTTAAAGTCTGTTGAAATACAGCCAGATGAATCGATAAATTCTGCCGGAAAGAGGCTTTTATTTATGAGTTGAATAAAACAAATTATCATTCTGTTGAAATGACGACGTCAGTGCACTTTTTGATTCTATGAGATGAAGTTTATTTTTATGAAAATGAGTTAAAAATGTCCGTTACTGGTATGCAGGTGAATATAGATAATAAAAAAAATAAGACATTTAGGACTTATTCATGATATCAAAGAAATGACAATTTTGTTGCTTAATTTGTTTTTCAATTTTGAAGCCAACGTGTCATTATCTTTTAAAAATAAAAAAAATACATAGTGTGCTATTGACCGAATACGAAATATATATCGGGTCAGCGAATGACATATGTGGAATCGAGATTCGCTCTATCCCAATATGAAATTTACTGACCACAAGTATATCGTATTAGGTCATTAACACTATGTAACTAATATTATATAGCAATCCTATAGATCGCCACTAGAGCAAACTATAACTCTTCTGCTGAAGGCTGTATTTTATATAGCCTAGATGAATGAGGGATTGTGTGGCTGAACACATCCGGTGCTGCCACATTTTCTGAAAAGTAGTGGTAAGAATCCTGCTGGAAGAAGAACAGAAAGTTTTGCTGATGCTAATTTACAGATCTAGCACATTCTATCATCGATATTTGAATCATTTATATTATTTTGATAAATGAATGAATATTAGGGATATTATTTTGAGATAAATTTAAAAATGGATACAGAATGAAGTTCATCATACATGTCGATACAATGATTGACATTTTATCCGATATACGCGTTTCGTCTACAAAAGACTCATCATTAACGCTGGATTCAAACAAAGTCAAAAAGACTATCCAAATTTCGATACTGGACCCACAATACCTAAAAGTTTTGCAGAATACAATTAAAGTCATCTTTTCCTGGTAAAAGGGTATTACAAAGCGCCTATTTCTAGATTATGACAAACTTCGAGTATAGGTACACGAGAAACGGTTTGTGTTCGTTCCGGTCGACAAAGGAGCGTGGTAAGTCTATGTTGATAAACTCATCATATATACCAGGATTGGAATTTTGTATTTGAGCCAGACGCGCGTTTCGTCTACTAAAGACTCACCAGTGACGCTCGAATAAAAATGATTAAAAAGACCAAATAAAGAACAAAGTTGGAGAGCATTGAGGACCAAAAATTATACTGTGTAAGCAAGCGAAAGAACAGACATACTAGGAACACATGTGAAAATTGGGTACTGCAGTCAATAGTGTGTAATTGTATTTATCAATACAAATCCAAACAAATATTTCAACTATGAAAACCAAAATGCATAAACAATTGTAGAAACCCTATAGATAAAGTATATACGCTTAAATGAGAGACCACTACATAAAAGATTGACCATGTCACAATATCACAACGGTATGATGTATAAATACCGAGCCACAACGAACAGATATTACCATACATGGTCTTAACATTAAAGTTAAGAAATATATAGCTTATTGCTCGGTGTGAGCCTATGCTCCGTGTTGAAGACCGTACTTTGACCTATAATGGTTTACTTTTACAATATATGATTTAGATGAAGAGTTGTCTCATTGGCATTCTTACCACATCTTCTTATATCTATCTAAAGACACTATAAAACGTGATTAATTTAGGTGTACTACATGAAATACTGGAACTATAGGCTAAACAGGGTTTTTATTACTGGTTTTTGGTTCAGAAAGGTGTCAAAAATAAATGTTTGATTTAGTGAAATATTTGATTTCAAAAGTATGATGTAAATGGTGTTGTTTTTTTATATGTAATAATATATTTGCCTTAGGGATATACAGATATGGACCGAAGGAAGAGTGAATATCACAATATTCAATCTTAAAAGATTATTTCTCTGCGGACGAAGCCCGAGGTGAAAAAAAATTGTAAGGGATGTCGATCTTCGATTTACAACGCTTACGATGGTCACTTATGTTTAATTTTACAAAACTAGCAATAAACGAGCCTATCACAGACCATTGTACATGCATGCTAAATGAGATCTTGCACTTGTCTTATAATCGTTTCATATTGTCAAAACACTTGAGTCAGAGAAATATTTTCAATCCCCCAGTTTCGATCTCCCTAAGTAAACCGCAGTGGTGAAAACAAATCAAATAAAAACCCAGTAAGATTACATTGACTTCAGTTCAAAATGTGTAATGGTGCACAAATAAAGCTTCATTTCGATTTCCAGTTCTGGTATTTTACGATATAATTTGGTTGAAATGCACATAAAATTACCAATTAAAGGGAGTAAACTCTGTAATTGGTAATCATTTTAACAAAAACAGTTCGAGTTATGAGACACACAGAAATGAAAGACGTACCATTTGCTTTATTCCAGAATGAGAGCAAACCCTAAAAATGTATGGTGTTATTCGATTTTTTTCGGCCATGTAATGCATGCATGCAATTTTCTTTGACTGTCAAAAAGTAAAATCACAAAAATACTGAACTCCGAGGAAAATTCAAAAAGGAAAGTCCCTAATCAAATGGCAAAATCAAAAGCTCAAACACATCAAACGAATGGATAACAACTGTCATATTCCTGACTTGGTACAGGCATTTTAATTTCTTATGTAGAAAATGGTGGATTGAACCTGGTTCTATAGCTAGCTAAACCTCTCACTTGTATGACAGTCGCATCACATTCAATTTTATTGACAACAATGCGTGAGGAAAACAAACAGACACAATAGATAAAAATGTCAAAAAAAGGGGTACAGCAGTCAACATTGTGTTATCATCTTAATCACTATAAAAACAAACAAATGTAACGAAAAAGCACAAAAAGGCATACATCAAATTTAACATCCTTATATTGCTTTATTATTATACGATTTTAATTATCTATGTAAAATCCACCCATAAAGGATGGAAGGTTTTAAGTACTGGCGTAAAATCACGCGTTTGAAATTCGCACAGGTTGACATAAAATAATTTTGTCGTTCAAAGTATGACGGTATACATAAGTATAGAGTCACGTAAAATGGATATCACAAAAAACAGACTTAACAGTAAAAGTAATATTAATGAATAAAATAATATTGTGGTTCAAAGTATGACGGGATACATAAGTATAGAGTCACGTAAAATGGATATCACAAAAAACAGACTTAACAGTAAAAGTAATATTAATGAATAAAATAATATTGTGGTTCAAAGTATGACGGGATACATAAGAACAGAGTCATGTCAACTGGATATCTCAAAAAACAAACTTAACAGTAAAAGTAATATTAATAAAGACAAATAAAAGAATACTATAACATGTTATTAAGACGATAAACAACGTCAGCACGCAGAATCTATACTTCAAGACCATCGTGTATTATTTGTGAAGTTGATACGGAATATTTATCAACAAGGTCTTGGTACCTTCCTATGAACTTTTTTAGAAAAAGGACGAGACGTTCTTTGACATACCCCTGGTTCATCAACTTTCTGCTCAGACACTGGTGACGTTTTACAAAGTCTGAGTAGGGGCTGCAAGCTCTTGAATACCGAATAAGTTGGGAAATGTATATCCCATATGCAGGTGAAGTTGGTATATTGCTACTAAGGTGGGGGAAATTGATAATTTCAAAATTAAAATCGTCTCGTTTGTCATAAATTCTGGTACTGAGATGACTGTGTATGTCAAATTTGAGGTATAAGTCTAAAAATGAGGCAGAGGAAGCCCTGTCTGTTGTTTCTTTAATTTCTAGTTCTGGTGGATATATTAATGGAACCCAATGAGAAAAGTTCGGATTGTTGATGGAAAGAACATCATCAATATATCTGAAAGTGAAATAAATTACCTGGCTTCTTTGATCTTCTTGTTTTTGACAAGTGTCTTAAGGAACTCCGATTCATATGAAAATAAAAAGAGGTCGGCAAGGAGAGGCGCACAGTTCGTTCCCATAGGAATGCCGACAATTTGTTGAAAAAGTCTACCTCAAAACAAAAACCAATCTCGCCACACTTTTGTTACTTTTCTTTATGCTTGTAATATGTTGCTATGCACTAAATTCATTAAACCTTGTGATACACATAATGTCAGTGAACGTTGGTATGTAAAGGACACTTTATATAGAACGTCTTATGTACTTGAACATGTTGCAGTCATATAACTCTGGTGTGTACATAAAGTCATAGAAAAACATTATCATCTGAGGCGAAACTGTGTAAAGTAACTTACCTGATCAAACTTCAAGTAGCTTGTATTCCAGAGTTTTTTTTTCACAAGATATGTTTCACCATATGCATTAGTATTTCGTAATTGCAAAATGTTAGTGTGTCCTTTGTCTGCATTAACGTTATTGTAGGGCGAATTTCGATGTTCTTCAGTAGTTCTGAAAGTGATCTATTTAAATGGGGCGGTATTGGATAGGTAAGTTTGTTATACACATGTTTCGAGTATAGTAATTTTGAACATATATAATCGTGTTCCAAAACTTACGATTGTTATTACTTTTTACGAAAACTGTATGAATAAAAGAATAGAAACAAATATAACACAAATCAATATTTGAGGGACAGAGTGTCACTTGACATGACTTGTTTATAAAAAGGAAATTGAAAAATTATTTTCCGGACCTTTATTGATGTTTATATATCATTTATATTGTATGTATTTTAAATGTAGTCTTATCATGTACAATTATAATATATTTGCTACTGGACATTAAGCAAACAATAATTCTATCCACTCCTTTTTAACAAATTCACGTATTAATGTGTATAGAGCAGAGAGGATCAAGAAAACTAGACTCAGGAATCTCCTTGTATGGACTTATGGATAATTATTGAAATCATTTAGTAAGCATTTCATTTTTAACAAAATGGTATTCCCGTCATTGTTTTTGTCCTTTATCTTCATTGCTCAACCCAAGTCACAATGTATTTAAAGACTTAATTTAAGAATTATACGTCAAGGTATGGTCTTCGATCACACAGATCCTTGGCTCACATCGAACAGCAAGCTATACACTTAACACGTATAGTATGACATTACTAAGATAAATAGTATCAAGAAGAAAAAAGCTTGCACAGAGAGACCTATTTTGTTATATAATATTGACCTTGTGTAAAACAATTCAAACAGGAAACACATAGGTATATATATATACAAAATGAAAACAGCTATGAACCACACCAAAAACAAAAAGG